TGTCCATTGAATTGTCGATCGATTATCGATTGGTAAATATATAATACTCATTTCCCCACGCCAAGTTTTCTTATTCTATTATTTTTCCCTTTCTTTTCTCCCTTTTATTATTATCGATTTCTATGCTTTACTCGATTACATAATCTTCCATTATTATTCCCCCCTTTTTTTTCTTTTACGCATTTTTAATGCCACTTTTACATGCACAATCGATAGCACATTGTTGATAAACAATGAGCATTAAACCGATCGATAATCGATAAACGGCAAAAGTCAAAGAAAAGACTCTAACCAAAATTCATTTTTCAATCGAATAACAAAAATCGGATAGAAAAAAATCGAACGAATACGAAAAGACTCCCTAACAATTAAAAAAAAAAAGAAGAAGAAAATTCGTTTCAAGTATATATAATACAATCGAGAGAAATAAAGAGAACATCCTGTAAAGCACTGTACAATATAATCGCGTTAATAACAGGCAGCAGGTGGTACGATCGATGTAATAATGGAAAAATGCAAATTAGTGTCTCACGCGACGTGAAAGTTGCATAATGCGACAAAGGTCAACGAGCGTAGCCTTGCGGTTTACATAAAACGTGTCTGAATCGGTTGGAAGCTTCGAGGAAAACAAAACCCGACGACTCGTTATTCCTTCCACAATTATTAAGACGGTACAGTTAAAAGGATGCGACGCGGTAAAATGTTTGTTTTTCTCCTTTTTTTTTTTTTTTCCTTAAATTAACGAAGATAATCACGGGCGAGGAAGAACAATAGCTCGTGAAAGCGATCCACGAAGGTTTGCCGGAGCGGGAACATCGATTGGAGGTCATTAAAGGGGGATGATGACTTTCTTCGGGTGCAGTCATCGGTGAAGCGGAGAATGTCTCGTCGTCGAAACATAAACGTTGTGTGTACTCGTCGTGATTACACGTAAATAGATATAAATACACTGCTAATAAAAAGACGTGGAATTATTATTTGTATATGCGGTATAACGATTCGTTAGTTTAGTTTGTTTATTAATTCCAATGGAAAGTTCTCGTTTAAGTGGATTTTTGAAAAAAAAAAAGAAAATTTACTGATGATGATAACAAATGACGAGTCTCCTTTAGAGAAGTTAAATAAAATATTCAGAACAGGTTTCACCTGTCTGGTTCCTCCTTTCAATTTCGATTCGTGGCTGGTGTTGTTCCCTCCTCCATGTTAATCTGCTTACCTTAAAACCTCGTGTGTCTCGTTCATTATCATTATTTTTTTTCATTCTTAACATCTTGTTAATTTTGTTTAAAGTAATTCTACGTGGTTTTAAAAAATTCTTCAGGGATGATTTCCAATTCGCTTGCTTTCATAGAGACAACGGGAAACGTTCTCGTTGTCGAGTACGCATTATTCTCGAAACAACGTGCGTTGATCCGTATGCAAGGTTACCGCATTGATTCGACATTGATAATGAGGGAGGCGCAGGTACAACGAACTGTCAACCATTACCTTGCTTCCTGACGCGCCTAAGCTTGTTTAACGAAATAATCGTGTGGAAAGTTCAACTACTGTTTCTAATTTCCATAGCGGTTGATCATTCATCGCGATTTAAATCGCATGTTTACACGAAACAAGAATATTTTTTTATTTTAACGACTTAATTACAGGCTACAAAAGGTATATCGTGTGGATTTAAAATTTTAAAAGAGTAACGAAGAATTATCAAGTATGAAGTTAAATTTTATGTTAATTTTAGAATATAACATAATTATAAAAATGTCTTTTACCTCTTTCTTTACAAGTTTCTTTACAAATTATCATAATAATATTTTATTATGCATATGAATAAAAATTGTATGTAATATTATCGTGTGATTAATTTTTCGAATTAATAATTGCTTTCGAAATTATTAAAATAAAAAGAATAACTAAAATTATCAAGTATGAAGTTAAATTCTCTGATAATTTTAGAATATTATTCTTTCTAATTATTTCTAAAACATAAAAAATGTGTCTTTTATCTTTTTCTTTACAAATTTCGATAATAATATTCGTGTGATTAATTTTTCGAATTAATAATTGCTTTCGAAATTATTAAATATTAAAATAAAAAGAATAACTAAAAATTATCAAGAATGAAGTTAAATTCTCTGATAACTTTAGAATATTATTATTTCTAAAACATAAAAGATGTATCTTTTACCTTTTTCTTTACAAATTTCGAAATTATCATAATAATATTTTATTCTGCATATGAATAAAAATTATAATATTCGTGTGATTAATTTTTCGAATTAATAATTGCTTTCGAAATTATTATATATCGGGATAAAGGGAAACTGTATGCGTTATATGCAGCAATCGTCGCAATAATCATTATTACACAAAGTTAAGGCAAGATTAATTAAGAACTCGAGAGCTTTCATCAGCCTCGATCATCGCAACTTCCGACGCGCAATCAGCTTCTCGCGGATAAACGTTTCAACAATAAACAATTAAACGATAATACCAGGCTGGAATGGTAACAGTAGCCGATCTTTTATCGTTTTGTTTGTATCCTTTCACAGTTATCTTCGTTTTATCAGTTGCACAGCGGTTCGTCGTGCGACTTCTCCTATGCATATACGCAGATAATTCGTACAGCCACTCGCAAAAGTCTTCTCTCTTACTCTCTCGCTTTTTATTTAATTATTTCACTTAAAAAATACTATTTAATTAAATATCTTATGAATTTCCCCTTTTCACGTTGAATCTACAAATTTTTATTCCAAACTCCAAAATCCTTTTTAAAAATATGTATATAAAAATTACTAAAAAAAAAAAAGAAAATACTTCGCTATATTGCAAAAAAAAAATGAATTTCCCCTTTTCAATAAATTTTTACTCCAAACTCCAAAGTCTTTACTTTTTAAAAATTTATATATAAAAATTAACAAATACTTTATAAAAAAAAAAAAAGAAATCTTCAACTTCCTTTCCCTTCAAAATAAGAAAAAATCGTTTTCTAATCAAAAAGAGTACCCACATACTTCTGCGTTCGACTGTGTGGAGATGCGCATCCCCCGCACACGAAACGTTTATACGTGCACGTACGCCCGTTGCATAGATATGCGAGGAGAGTCGGATGCGAAACCATCCTCCTCCGCGTCATCTCTTTGTCTCCTATTACTGAATCGCTGGTTTGGTATACCGCGACAAGACGCAAATGAGACGGTGGATAAATTAGAAGTGGCTGATGGCGACCCTTAATTAACAGAAATAACAGACCGAGCCACCGGCCGTGCTCGTATGAAATATGCGCGCGTTAATTGACGCAAAGCGAACGGGGTGGAGGAGGGGGGGG